TCTCTTCGTCCTCCAGGACTTGCCGCGTAATGTGGAGCTTCCTGTTGAAGTCGTGGTCCGAGTCGCGGTACAGGAGAGTTTCGGAGGAGTCGGCGGCGATTAATTCGGATATGCGCGCTGATAGAGGCGGTGATGTAGGCGTGGACGGGTCGGGGTCGGGGTTCTCGCGGACGAGCGCTCTGGCTAGGTTGCATGAGTTGGCGCCCAGGTCCAGGACTTTGGGAAAGTGCCGGTTGATGTCCTATTTGGAGACGAGGGGGGAACCGTTTGTTAGCAATTGTAGCAATTTGAGCAATGAAGGCGTGTTGAAGGCCGTGGTACACCGTACAAGTAGTCGCTCAGAGACTCGGACGGCCACCTCATCCTTCAGGTAGTCTGCCTGCCGGCTTTCCTGGGGCCTGGAAGCTGCGCGCTCCTTTTGAAGCCATTTCGTCCGTCGGTTGAAGACTTGGAATCGCGGGGCGCCCGTGGAATGGACGGCGTATGTTCGTCGGCCGGTGGCTTGGGGAGAAGGGCCGGACAAGGGCGGCAGTCTATGCAGGACGTTGCCCAGCGGGCGTGGTCGCATGCATGCTGACATTACATTCGGATGGGTACGCAGACAATGCATGCGGTGGAAGACGGTGGGAGGCGATGCTATTCAATCCATGGATGTCAATGGTGCAGCTGCGCCTTACTGTTGAGCTCGAATGGATTTATTTTTACGCTCGATATTTGAAGGTTGGAGGTTGCCGTCCATGCTGACCAATGAAGTGCGGGCTGGATAGCCGTTCGGGGACGTCAGCTTCAATGGCATTCAACGATGCGCTGCCCCATCAGTCATCAATTGATCCGTTTCCAGGACGCATGAGTGGCCTCGGTGGCGGTGACAGGCGCCAATGGGCAGCACCATCCCCTGTTGGTCGCCCAAGGCGCCTCGTGCCATGTCCGTACTCCAGGATCCTGGCCTGCTGAAGAACGGGACTGGTCAGTTACCCGATATCAACCTGACGGAGGGTACGGAGCACCGAGTAGACCCCTCCCTCTTCAAGATCGTCAGAGCTACCAAGCTCAGCAACTTGCCATCCGCCCGCACACGTGGGAGCTTCAGTCTGTCGTGAGCCTGTGGCGAGTCTGTAGCGGAGATATCCAGAGGTCAAGTATAGGTTGGCCGACGGCGCAACCCTGGAAGGCGGCGATTTGGGAGAGGGAACGTTGGAACGTTTGCACTTTAGCCCCTGGCCGCGTATCCCGCCCATCGTCCATCGCCGACATTGAACACTTGGACGCTTGGGCACAACGAGCGACAAACGACAAGCGACAGCCGAACCATCCGTTGCCGTTCGCGCCAGGCATTTGGCTATGCCATCGGACCTGCACCTAATCGACAAGTAATCCCTATTCTCGCCGAAATTCTCCCGCCGACAAAACTTGCTCGCCGTGGCATCCTAGGGAAAGGAGACGTCAGCCAGGGGCTGCTCGACGACTTCCACCATGTCGGCTCCAGGAAGCGGCTTTCTCGGCCGCTCAAGCAGCAGCAACGCCAACATGCGAGGCTTGGTGCAGTTCATCGCCGATTTGAGAAACGCCCGAGCCCGTGAGCTAGAAGAGAAGCGAATTAACAAGGAGCTGGCCAACATTCGGCAAAAGTTCAAGGATGGCAACCTTAGCGGCTACCACAAGAAGAAATATGTCTGCAAGCTGCTGTACATTTACATTTTGGGCTGGAACGTCGACTTTGGCCACCTCGAGGCAGTCAATCTCATCTCGGCACAAAAGTATTCAGAGAAGCAGATTGGCTACCTTGCCATGACGCTCTTCCTCCACGAAAAGCACGAGCTGCTACATCTTGTCGTCAATAGCATTCGGAAGGATTTGTTGGATCATAACGAGCTTTTCAACTGCTTGGCTCTGCATGCCATTGCCAATGTAGGAGGCCGGGAGATGGGCGAGGCGCTTAGCTCCGAGGTTCATCGACTGCTGATCTCACCGTGAGCCTTCATCAGCTGGCTGACCCATCAACAGTTTCACGTGCTAACATGGCTGCAGAACTTCAAAGTCGTTTGTCAAGAAGAAGGCTGCCCTGACTTTGCTGCGTCTCTACCGCAAATATCCCGACATCGTCTCTCCCCAGTGGGCCGAGCGCATCATTCATCTCATGGATGATGTCGATCTGGGAGTTGCCCTCTCTGTCACGTCGCTTGTCATGGCTCTTGCGCAAGACAATCTCGACGGATACAAGGGGGCTTATGCAAAGGCAGCCGCGCGACTAAAGCGCATCATCATTGATGGCGAATACACCATAGACTACCTCTACTACAAAGTTCCGTGCCCTTGGCTACAGATTAAGCTTTTGAGGCTTCTTCAATACTTTCCACCCTCTGGTATGTTGTGCTCTTGTGTCCGGCGTGCATGGTTTTCCGTGCTAATATGCACAACAACGCAGAGGACACTCATGTGCGAAACATGATTCGAGAATCTTTGCAGCGAATCCTAAACCTGGCAATGGAAGCCAACAAGAATGTTCAGCAGAACAACGCCCAGAATGCAGTCTTATTCGAAGCCATCAACCTAATTATCCACCTTGATACCGAGCATGCGCTCATGAAGCAGATTTCTTCCCGACTGGGCCGGTTCATTCAGAGCAGAGAGACAAATGTGCGATATCTCGGTTTGGAGGCCATGACACATCTGGCAGCTCGAACAGAAACCCTCATACCCATCAAGCAGCATCAAGACATTATCCTCGGATCCCTCAAAGACAGAGACATTAGTGTTCGCAGAAAGGGGTTGGATCTGCTGTACAGCATGTGCGACGCCACCAACGCCAGGATCATTGTCGGCGAATTACTGCACTTTCTTCAGAACGCAGACTTTGCCATTCGAGAGGAAATGGTTCTCAAGATTGCCATTCTCACGGAGAAGTATGCCACCGATGTTCAGTGGTATGTCGATATTTCGTTGCGTCTGATTGCCATGGCCGGTGATCATGTCAGCGACGAGGTCTGGCAACGAGTAATTCAAATCGTCACCAACAATGAAGAGCTCCAAGTTTATGCCGCGCAAACTGCTTTGCAGTACGTCAAGTCAGACCATTGCCACGAGACATTGGTCAAGATTGGAGCGTATATTCTGGGCGAATTTGGCCACTTGGTCGCCGACCAGCCTCGCTGCAGCCCGATTGAGCAATTCATGGCTCTCCAGGGCAAGCTGTCTGGTTGTTCTCCCAGCACTCGGGCCATGATTTTGTCATGCTTCATCAAATTCGTCAACTTGTTCCCTGAAATCAAACCACAGTTGCTCCACACATTCGAGGTGTACAGTCACACGTTGGACTCGGAGATGCAGCAGAGAGCGTGCGAATATCTGACTCTGGCGAGTATGCCCACCGACGACTTGCTGAGAACAGTTTGCGATGAGATGCCGCCCTTTCCCGAGCGAGAGTCTGCACTTCTTTCCCGACTCCACCAGAAGCACGCAAACACCAGTGACCGCCGTACGTGGGTCGTCGGAGGCAAGGATGCCAATTCTGACGGCACCGAGCTCGGTATGGCGAAGCCGGGCGGCCTTAAGAGGACCTTTAGCTCGGCTGCTGCCATCAACGGTGGAAGAGCCAATGGGAGTGCCAATGGTGCCAACGAGCTTGCGGGTCTGAATATGAACGCCCCATCGCCGTCGGAGCCCAAGATGCTCAAGGCTCCTAACCTGGCGAGCGCTGCGCACTTGTCTCCTGGCTGGGAGAAGGGTTTCGACAGACTCATGCTCCGATCGGATGGTGTCTTGTACGAAGATGGCCAGGTTCAAGTCGGTGTCCGATCCGAATGCCGCGGACAGGCGGTTTGCATTATTGCCTACTTTTCCAACAAGTCACCGTCGCCCATGACTTCCTTCACAACCACTCTGGATCTTGACGAGAGCGAGAAGAGCAAACTGACTTGGGATGTCAGAGAGCTCCCCGACAGTACGATTGCCCCGGGGGGACAAACGAAACAAGTCACCGTGTTTGAGTCCAAGAAGATTTTCGACAAGAGCCCGACGGTGCGAATCAGTTATCTCGCGGGCGCTTTGCAAGCGGTGACGGTGAAGCTGCCCGTCGCTGCACACAAGTTCATGGACCCTGCGGATCTTTCCGCCGAAGACTTCTTCAAGCGCTGGAAGCAGATTGGGGCGGGATCTCGCGAGGCACAGGCGATTTTCGGGCTCACAAGCGGCAAGAGCAACACGAGAGAACTCACGGAGAAGTTTGTTGTCGACACCGTCGAGGGCCTCCGATGGCGTGTGCTGGACATGGTTGATCCCAACCCAAAGAACATTGTTGGCGCCAGCGTGCTGCACACCTCGGAGGGAGGAAAATTTGGCTGTCTCTTGCGTCTGGAGCCCAACTATTCCAGCCAGGTAGGGGGACCCTTGCTGGCAAACCCGCATAGTGATTGCTCTGACTGACAAACGTTGTTGTAGATGATCCGACTTACAATCCGCGCCACAGACGACTCAGTACCGGCAATCATGTTGAAACTCATGCAGGAGAGGCTCGCGCAGGGGGTCTCAACTATCCCCGAGCACCGTGAACCGCCCACACGTCAGGAAATTTCAGAAGCGTTTGCAAACACCATGGTTACGTAGACGGGTGCCAAGTCATCATATCCTGTGGAGGGATGTGCTTTGCGGGTTTGCTAAGCACAGGGCGGTTTTTGGAACGGAAAGGCATTTTGGAGTTGTGGAGAAAGTTTGACTTTTGGAATGTGCATACTTAGTTAATGGTTGCTCTGCATGGGAAGGTTGTGAAAAGCATAGTCCGGACGCAGAGAGCATTTGTTTCATGTGGACCGATACCAGGATTTCAATGAGATTTGTCTTTTTTTTTCTTTGTTTCTTTTTTCTTTTTTCATTTTTTTCACTCTTGACGTCCATGATCCCAGTTTGGCCGCCGTGGCTCTCGCCGAATCAATCAACAGTGCGGGCTGGGAACATGTTGTCCCTGTATGTATGTATGTACAGCACCAATGGGTCCGACCTACGGGCTACTCCTTAATCTTTGCATCGGCCTTTGCGGGCCTCGTGCCGAAAATCGTACTGCCAACCCTCACCTCGCCGCTGCCCAAAACGACGGCGCCCTCAAAGTCCTCGCTCATGCCCATGCTCAGCTCCAGCCTCGCGTCGTCGAGCGCCAGCTGCCTGGCCACCAGATCCCTCTGCTGCTTGAGCGCGATAAAGTCGTCGTTTTCATTGTCCGCGGTCGTGGCCTTGCTCCGCGCGATGGCGCCAATGGTCATGAGCCCCAGGAGGTGCAGGTTCGGGCAGTTGGTGATGATTTCGCGGCACAGCGCCACGGTTTCTTCGCCCGGGGCGCAGCCGGACTTGGCTTCCTCCCCGGACGTGTTGACCTGCACGTGGACGGACAGCTTGGGCAGCGATGGGTCCGAGGCGAGGAGGGCGCCGCGCGTGGTGTTGAGGAGGGCTGCCTTCTTGAGGGTGTCTACGGATGAGACGCAGAACAGGTTGGGGATCTTGGCGAGCGTCTTGCAGTGGCCTGGGAGGTGTGTCAACGGGCCGCTGTGGACCTGTCGATGAGAAGCAGGGGAGCACGGAGTGGTAGTTAGTTACCTGATTGTAAGCCGCCGATGAAGTGCCATTGTATGGTCTTGGGGAGGAGCTGTGCCTTTTGAGTGAGTTCCTGCGTGTAGTTTTCGCCAAAGTGACGGTGGGAGGCGGGCGCCTGGTGGAGGGCGAGGATGTCATTGGCGGGCTTGAGCTTGGATACGGCGACGAGCCTGACCTGCGTGTGGTGTGTCAACTGACGGTGTCGTGCCGCTGGTATTTACCATCTGTGCCGTCGGGTGCAGCGTCTACTTACATCACGGCCATGGGCGAGGCCACCGATGCGCTCCTTGACAGACGACAGCTGCGAGATGAGAGCCTGGGCTCTCGTGGGATCGACGCGCATTTCCTCGGCTTCACTCATTTCCCCAGTCCTTTTTTCTCTCTCTCATCTGGCCTGGATAATTCGGCGGCAAGGCGGGACGAGGGTTTCGGAACGAGGTCAAGTTATCTGATGAGTTTTGGCTGGCGTTGGAGTCGATGAGTCGGGTCATCATCGGCTGGTCCACTTTGGCCATGTAGAACCACAACTTGTCACGTTTCCGTGCACATCGACGCCCTTTCAGATACATGCCCGGCAAACCAACCAGACCAATGAGTTTGTCATTTCTGCTTGATTGAGCAAGGAGCACCGGCAGCCGTTGGTTCGGAATCCACAACCGCAAATGGCGGAGCAGAAACATGCCCGCAGACGGACAAGCAGCAATGCCGCCACGCTCCCCGTCAGAAACGGCCAGCATGCGCGGAAGCAGTCCAAAGCAGCCGTACAGCCCAGGTCGGCACATACCGCCGACGACTTTCTCCACGACTTTCTAGACGCCTCATTTGATCCCGCCGCCTACCTGAATGCTACTTTGCCGCCTCTCGCCAGCAGGCAGGCGTCCTCCCAGCCGGCTGGTGCTGTGCCGCTCGCCGAGCTGTCCGCCCAGGCGCAGACCCTGCTATCGCAGCTGAATGCGCAGACTACACGGCTGTCCAATACGCTGACACAGCTGACTGACGATATTTTGAGGAGCGGCAGCCGGCTGGCGTACGAGGTGGAGTTGCTGAGGGGCGAGACGCTGGGCCTGTCGGAAATGTTGCACGAGACGCTCAAGGAGGACATTGAGGTTTTCGTCCCGGGTGGTCTGCAGCCGAATCACGAAACTAGGAAGGAGGCCACCAGGAGGGGTGAAGCCGACGAGGACAAGGACGGCGTCGAGGCGTCGCCGCCGGCCGATGCCGCCGCTGCCACCGGTGCCAACGACTCATCTGACCCGGAATACATCAAACAGCTACAGACACTCACACTGGTCCGGTCACGCCTCGAATCCGTCATCCAGACCTTTGGCGACGCCATGGACTTTACCTTCCCGCCGTCAGAAGTATCCGTCAGCTCGGGGTTCCTGTCCGTCTCCGCGCCGGAACCAGGCTCCGAGCAGCAGAGCTCCGAGGAAAAGGGCCAGCAAGTGCTACGGAAGCTGCGCGACGAGATTGCGGGCTTTCTACAGCAGAGCGACGACCCCATACAGGGCATCGAAAAGGCCGCCGCTAGGATCGAGGAGCTCAAGGAGCTGAGTGTCGTGTGGAAAGGCACGGCGGAGGAAAAGGGCCGCAGCAAGTTTATTGAGAGCCTGGCCAAGATGGTCGAGGATAGGCATAGGGACTTGGTGAGGGAGATGGACCAGGCGGCGAGGAGGGAGGGCCGGGCTGCGGGCTCACAAGGCAAGAAACCTGGTGGCCAGGAGGGGGCTGGCGAGGAAGCCAAGGTTCCTGGCGGGTTTGGACTCATTAGCCAGTTGCAGAAATTGAGGAGCGGGCTGTAGATGATGGGTTGTGACTGAATGGGCTTGTGGGCTGGTATATGCGATATGTGTATCCATGGACTGAATAACGGTGTCGCTGGGACAGAGGTAAGTCGATGATGATGAAAACTTCTGGTCACTGGTGTAGAAAGAGGCGAAATATCCCTCTGGACTTTTGATATGGGAGACATGTATGACATTTGTCCATGGCAACTACTTTGGGCTGCGTTCTGGTCTGGTCCTTGAACACCTGCGGTGTACATTGCCAGTTGCGGCTACATACAAGTTTGCAAGGCAGAAACGCATGGGCGCTTTTGAAGAAGAGCAGCCCCCTGATGAAACTGCTAATAACTACTCGAGCACACTCTTCTCTATCAATGCATGAACATGAAACAAGCGGGTGAATCGACCTCGCCGCGGCTCGAGAGAACCTACAGTGCATGCGTCGTCCATCAACATTGTCTCGCACTGTACGACGGAACCCCCCATGCCCCTTTGGAGTGGTTCAAACCCGTACCAACCAATTACAGTGCTCCCGCTCGAGGACCCTAAGCGCAGTCGGCAGGCGGTGAGCGGGTCCGCGACTAACACGACTTTGGGCTTGACCTAGCCAAAGCCGCCTTGACACCGGGGCAGAACGAACGAGACCAGACTTGACTGACGATTGTTCGGCTGACCTGATTGCTACGCTGCTGCACTCGGCCACGCACCTTTGTCGTCAGTCGTCGTTGTTCTCGCTCCGACCTCACCGACAGGTGGTACTTTATGTTTCTCTCTTTCAATCGTTGCAGGCGCATTTTGCAGCACTGTTGATTTTGCTTTCTCGTTCCGCCGCTCGCTGTGGAATAGAGACTCACACCCGGAACAAGTTGTACTCGGGGCGCAGACGGGCAGAGCACCGAGTCTTTGCAACACCGCAATCGCTCCAGACCGCTGTGCATTTCCTCTTGGTGTGCCCGCTTTCTCCATCCTGCATCACTGGCAACTGAACTCTCTGCTTCGGACCGGCGGCCGCCTTGCCAGCTCTGAAGATGGCCGCAAGTGACAATACCGTCCCCTCCGCCCTTGGCGGCAAACCCGAGCGACGCTCTCCTCCTCCAGCGTCACAATCGAAGCGCGACAGAAAGAGACAGGCCCTCATGGAGCGTCTCTCCAGCATGACGGACAAGTTTCAGCGCGAACAGGACATGACGTACCGCGACCAGCTGCAGAAGATCCAGTACGAGATTGGCCTCGTGCAGCGATTCGATCCATACGACACAAACGCTTTGGAGGTTGCCGCCGAGCTGCAAAGAGAACACAGACAGACCCAGGGGCCTCCGGTCCACGCTGAGTCTGCCCGTAGCCTCATGGACATGGCTGGAATCAAGTTTCCCAACTTTATTGACGAAATTGAGGATTTGATTGAGATTCGTGATTTTCAACTGACGCAGTCAAAGGTGAGCAAAGACGAGACAAGAAACCCCTCCCCCTCAAAAATAAAACAAGATGAAATGAAACAACGTTCGTTTGTGAATGCAACTGACATTGACCTTGTGTATTCAGAATGAATACGAACGAAAAGTACAAGAGTACAAGAACACCCACGCCTACAAGGTCGAGACGGCCCGCCGCGAGCACATGGCCCTGACCAGCACCTTGCGCGACCGACTTATCAACACCCTGACACAAAAGAAGAACCGACTGAATAGGGAAAAGGAAGTATTGGAGATTAACGATTCCAATGCCTTGCTCCTGAACCCGAATCACTTTTCTCTCACAAACCCTGGCAGCCCCGGCGGTACCCACGGCAAGCGTGCCACCAGACTTCGCAAAGATGCCGACGACCTTCAAATGTTTTCGGATAAGAAGCGAAAGCGAAATCCTGGAGAGGACGACGGATCGCCCGCCCCGATGCGCCGCGGCCTGGATCCCAACAGCACAACTCCCCTGTGGCAGTCGGAAAAGGCACGTGCTGTCGCGAAGCAAAACGGGCCCATTTATAGCATCGACAAGCTCTTCACCGACAAAGAATTGTCTCTGCATTACAACAGCGCGGCTTTGGCTGCGCATCAATACATCCTGCGCAACCGTGTCAACGGCAACGCTTCGTCCCCCGACGACAGCGACTCGGGCAACGGGGACGACAACGACGCCGACTCTGTCCCGTCGGCGCCCATGATGGAACGCCAGGTATCACACGCCACCCGCAGCACCAGAGGCGGCGCAAACACAAACTTCTTGGACGACAAGATTCTCGGCGTGGAGGGCATAGCCAACTTTGAGGTCCCGGCCAACCTGGACCTGATGCATGCCCAAGAACCCCCCAAGATGCCCCCTCACGTGCCCCAGCAGTATCTAAAACCGTACCCCAGATCTGCGGACCAGAACTTCCCGGTTCCACTTTCACAGGACGACATCATGTCGGACCTGTCCGTCATGGGCTTCCTCAAACAGTACGACCACTCTCACAAGCCCGGCGCACACCTCGACGCCCCGACTGGGCTGCGCAAAATCCTCGAAGCCGTCTCCATCCCGTACCAACAGGGCCGCTTCGTAGCCATCACCAGCGCCGCGCGGGAAGACCCCGAAAACTTTCGCGACTCTCTGGGGATCCCCACCAGCGGCCTGCGAGACCAACTGAGCCCCGGCCACGGCGGCTCCAACCAGTCTGTGGCGGGATACTCTGCGTCGGCCATACCCATGAGCAGACAGAGCAGCCTCGGCGGCGTGGCCATGAGCCGACAGGGAACGACGGGCAGCGGACGAGGCAGAGCCCGCCGCGGCTGAGAGCGCTGCTTTTGGATCCATCAGCATGGAGGGGATTTGTATTTTGCCATCCAGCGACGGCGTCTCTGTCCTTGCTACTGTGTTTTTTTTTTTTGTCTTTGGGCTGTCATAGGGGGCCAGTTAGAAAGATGTGCACATGCGCTGATTTGTCTTTGCATGACGCACTTGCTCTGTGCCGAGGGGGAAGGGGGTTACATTGATTATTCTGGCTTTGGACAATAAGGGTCTAGTTGTTATTTTTCCCAGTCCCCCTCTTCTGTTCTGTTATGTCACGGTTTCCTAGGTTGACTTGATTGACGATTGTGGTTGGGCTACGCATTGCCATTGATGTTAGTTGGCAGGCATAGATGTTTACTCGGGGCGTTTAAATTGAACCACGTTGGCCAAGAGTTTTTTCATTTCTTTCCATATTCCGACTCGATATTGTAAAAATGCCAAAACAAACAAAAGACTCGCAGCGCAAGAAGATGCCCAATACCAAAATAATTCAAAGACAAGAATGTGCCCCCCTCCCCCGTCACGGCCCAAACACCAAGGCCCTCACCTCGATGCTCTCCCTGCCCTCGGCACCCGGCCTCGTCCTCGGGTGGACAAAGGCCGTGTGCGGGACGCGGCCGCCGACGCGGCTCCCCGGCCGGAGCGACTCGCTGTCGAAGCACTCGAGCAGCAGCCTCTCGCTGCCCGTCATGCCGCTGAGGTAGTACCATTCCTGGCGGGGGCTGTAGCGCACGGCGGCCGTCTCGCCCGTGTAGCCGTCCGGGTAGCGGTGCTCGACGGGCACGACGTCGGCGGGGTCGAGGGTCGCGGCGCTGGCAAAGGCGAGCGGGAACGACTCGACGGGGCGGGCGTTGAGCGGGCGCCAGACGTTGACGATGCGGTGGCGCCCGGCGAGCAGGGCCGCGGCCTCGGCGTCGTCGGGGAAGTAGCGCCGCACGCGCTTTTCCACCGACGCCGCCGTCTGGTCGATGTGCACGCGGGTGACGGGGGTTCGGGGCGCGGCCGGGTCGGCGCGGCGGAGGGTGTGGTCGAAGATGTGCACGGCGCGGGAGCCGGGGATGGCGGCGAGCAGCAGCGCCTCCACCTCGGGGTAGTAGCGGGCGCGGATGGAGGCGTCGTCGGCGAAGGAGGCTTCCGACGAGGGCGCCACGTCGGAGATGATTTGGAAGGCGTCGCGGTCGAGGGTGAAGGCGGACTCGCGGCCGCGCACGTCGCGGATGAGCGTGTCCTGCACGTGGTCGCTGTAGTTGCGCTGGGGCTGCCCGGCCGGCGGGGAGTCGACGTAGTTGAATGGGCGCGCGGCCTTGTCGGCGGGCGGCGCGTAGAAGTTGAGCGCCGCCGTGACGTCGCCGCGAGGCACTTGGTCCGGGGAGGGGATGGCCATGGTGGGCGATGTGCCGGCGGTTTCGGGGCGGGACGGGCCTGTGACGAGAATGGTTTAATTTATCTAAAGGGTACGGTTATGTGATGAGCGCAAGGATGCAGGATGCGACTGAATGGCGGATTGTTGGCGTGTGTTGATGGCTGCGTCTGGTGCGTGAGTCCGGGGCCGTGGCGCTGAGGTCCATGACGAGCGCATCCATTTATACATGTACATGATCTCGCCGGGTCTGACACCTCGGCCATGGCCCGGCATTAGATTTCAAATCAAGCAGTGAATCAATCGTCCGGGTAAAAACCAGGCGGCTCTACCCGCCTGCAGGGCGTACTGCATCGACGGGCGCGTCATATCGACTGGGCCATTTGTAAGATGTGATTACTAAATTGCCTGTTTGGGTGGCCGCGGCACACGGCCGGACCGTTTGAGTGGGATGGCGTGCTCGGGACGCGCATTGCTTTGGCATCGGGCCCAGCACTCCTGGGCCGAGGATGCGTGAATGCAGTCATTTTTGCTCGTTTGGGCATTGGCAATGGCCTGCTGTGATGGCAAACAAGCTTCATGTTGCCAAGCTAATTCGGTCGGCAAGCAATAGTACCGTCGGCATGCTTGGAGGCTAAATGTCCACAACATGGTACTTCAAATACACCAAACCACAACTACTCCGTACCGCTTAGAAAGCTATCACTCGTTCTACTGCAAACGTCGTGCAAAACCTGTTCCCCGCACCTCGCTGTCAAACGGCAACCAGGCATCACGTGGTAGATCATGCTGCCTGGTCCAAGCCCAGGCCCACTCTTTCTGTCAGGCTCCGGATCATATCCGCACATATCCGGGAGGGGGGGAGCCAGGTGTTGGAGCGGGGTCGTCAGCTTGTGTCGATTGCAAGTCCCGCACTGTCCTCTTGTGCTGAGAACGCACTAAACCGCCCAGTGCGCGCCCCGCCTGCCCCCTATTTAGCCCAATTTCTGCCAGCCACATTGACCTAATTACAACCTCTGTTCTTCCACATGCGAGGCAAAGGCGGCCATTTTATCCAGGATCAAACCATTGCACAAACTCCAATCGGGAGGCCCTGCCGCACAAGGAACCAATTGCGCGATTCCTGGTCTTGTTTCCGACGCGCAGTTTTGTCCTTATTGCCGGGGAGCACGAATGATGCGCCGCCCGGGAATAGCGTCTGCGTTGTCGTCGTCCGTTGTCCTTCACGTCGTCGTCTCCACTCTGCCGCGACCAGGTCCACGACGGTAAGACGCAGAGTCCCAGTCCCGAATCCCAGCGCCGGGGAGTACCTGCGTCAGTACCGAGTAAAAAAAAAATATCCATTCGAGCAATCCCCCCCCAGGACGGAGCTTTTCATGCTAGGACCTTGGTGACCCCTGGGTGTCATTGCCGCCCCCTGAGGCCAGGCCCAAGGGATGGACCAACAACACAGCAATGGAGTCAAGCCAGTTGGAGAGGCCATGCCATCGCCGCATGGGCTCGTCGTTCGGCCCACCCTGCCGGACAGAGACGTGAACCCTGCTACTATAGAGGAAGCTTACGTACGCTTCATCTTTTACTGCAATCCTGCGCTACATCTGGACTGCGACACGGAGAGTTTGAGAGATGCCTTTCGGACGCCCCCACGCAGCGGTGGCAAGTCCTTTGACACCTTCATCATATACGACCTGGTGAGGAAGTTTTACAACAAGGAGATCAAGACGTGGACCGAGTTGACCACAACCCTTGGAGTTGAGCCGCCGGACCCATCCAAGGATGAGAGCGCGCAGAAAGTTGCCCAGTATGGCGTTCGGTTAAAGGTGAGTGCTGTCCACGTGCGTTTGTTCCTGTGAGGCTGACCCTGGCGTTAGAAATGGATGAACTCGATGCACGTCAAGGCCTTTTTTGAGTATCTCATGGACATACCTAATGACTACTGGATGAGGATCCCCACGGACCCCAACCCCATCGCAAGCGGCGTTCGTGATGGCGTCGCCCTTGAGGATGATATGGCCTTGAGGGCTCTGCTGCCTCATATACGGCCCAAGAGAGGGCGTAAGAGACCCGAGGCGGACGATGCTTTGGCGTCGCCGGCCCAGAGACAGCGACTGTCGCCGGCGTCTGCGGCAGAAGACTATTGTCAGGGACAGTCAGGGCCTTGGTCGGCTCATCCGGACGCCCATGGGGGCACGCCATTAGACGCCCGAAGAGCGCACAATCCCGCGTCATGGGGGCAAAACGAGTCTCTACAAACGCCTGTAGGCCGGTGGCCGCAATCTGCCGTCACACCCACGACTAGGGGCTCGTTTTGGGATGACGCGCTTGAGCCTCGATCGGCAGCCGCTCCCACCAAGGGCAAGGTGTCCAATCTTCGCAGAGGCGCCAAAAATGTATCTTCGGCGTGGAAAACGGCCGGCAAAGACCCGGGGACTCGGCCAAGAGGTCGGCCTCCCATCAACCGAACGCCTGTAGAAGGACCTGGCCAACATCACGCACATGGCTGGACGCCAACCAACGAGACTCAACCCGAACATTCGTACCATCCTAGACCAGTCCCGGCGATGCATCCAGAACAGTCGCAGCCGCAGCCGCAGCCGCAGCAACAGCAGCAGTATCATCACCAGTTTCCTGCAAATCAGAGCAGAGTTACACCCGCCGGACAGCATGACCAACATGCACCACCATACGAAGGAGGATCAAGACCATCTCGACCTAGCATCTCATTACAGGTCCCGGAACGGGCCGGTGGTTCTGTGCGTCTGGCCACGCCTCCAGCGCCAGCGCCAGCACCGACACAGGCCCCGGCACAGGCCCCGACACAGGCTCCGACACAGGCACCGGCACCAGCAGCACCGCCTCCTCAACCTCGTCAAGTCGAGGTCAACGGCTCCGAACCCAACGGCCAAGTTCCCGGCGACGATAGCCAGTACCAAGATGGTTGGCGCAAATTCGCAAGGGAAGCAGCCGATGCCTACGAACAACCGGACCAAAGCCGCGGGCCGGCCGGCTCGGGCGATTTGGGGGACAAGGACTCAGACATGCCCGACTACTACTTTGACAGGATGGACGACCGCACAAACGTCGACGTCCTGACGGCATACTTTACGCGCTCCATGACGGAAGCCGACTGGCGAGATGCCGACGGAAACCCAACAAAGACCGTCTCCCTGGAGGAATCCGCCGCCATGGTCCACGCCATGCTCCAAACAATGTACAAAACCGCCACATCGCCGCAAGCCTTTCTCATCAACCTGGCTGCCCTCGCGGGCTCCACCACCCTCGTCACCACGAGGCCGAAATGCACGCGTCTGAGCGAAAACGACGGTCAGTTCAGGTACAAGTGCGAATGGGAGTATCGCTTCGGCCATGTAAAGGGCGGCTTTACATTCGAGCAGGTGGTCCCGGCAAGCATGTGGGCCAAGACGAAGCGGCCGCCGACCCCGGATAAGGACCGAGACCGGGACCAGGAGGGGCAGCAGCAGCAGCAGGAGGAGGAGGGCGAGTTTACAAAGGAGTACTGGCAGAAAAAGTACGAGGCGTTGACGACTGAGCTGGAGAGTAGGGATAGGAACCTGGCTGATTTGAGGGACAAGGTGACCAAGGCTCTGGGCCGGAACTTTATGTGATGGGCGTGGGGAGGTGCGGACCGGACCGCTACTTTTTTCTTTAACTTGTTTTCCTGCCTTTTTGTGCTTGCAGGTATTTGGCGTATCCGGTGCCGCCCTCATGGCCTATTCGACTTTGCTGCTTGGCATCGAGGCCAACCAGCCCTATTTACTACTATTCGTCTCATCCGGCAACCGGCAACCGGACGCAAGTGTAGGTGGGAAGTGGGTGTAGACGGAGGCAAACAGTGCAAGGGCGTGGATAAAGGGGAATTTGTACATTACATACGGAGTAATGGCCGGGCTTATCAGCGAGGCGTTCCTTGTCGTTGTGTATACATATATACGCCTATAATCAATCGTCGCGCCTGCAAACGGCTTTGACCCCGCCAATGTCCAAGTATCTGCGCGCGAAAAGGCTCACCTCTGTCCGCCGGGCCATGTATGTAACAGCCAGCTGCTAGCCCTCTGAGAAGGCAGAATAACGGGCACGTCTCGGCGGGAAAGCAGAGTCGTCAAAGTTCACGGCCCCCCCGTACCTGTTTCTGTGCCTGCCCGCCATGCAAGTCGCCCTGGTGGTGGACTGGTGCCTTGCGCATCAGCTCGAGTATTATTAGCACCGTGCATGATTTGTGTTCCTGTCAGACAATGAGCTGGACGGCACGCAGCACATTGCATGCACACCGAGGAAGGAGTATGTATGTGCACGCAGCAATCGTGGGCGGCTGCAGCCACGGCAGGCCACAGATGCGACACGGCGGAAGTGATGCCGGGCTGACGTGAGTCACTGCCCATTCATTTTCTGACGTGGTCGTTGCTTTTTGCGGCTCGCGGATCAGGCGCACTTTGTTGTTTGCCGTCAATCGAGGGGGCTGCGAATCCTTCGGACAATGTTTGTGCTGCTGACCCGGGTCTGGGAACGACGGGCTGGGGCTTTCCGTGCGTCACCTTGTACATCTAAGTACATGTTGGAGGTGAGGCGGGTGCCTTTTTTTACTTCTTTCTTTCTGGCACCTAGATGGCGGGCTGTTTAATTCGACGGATTACGGCGAGGATAAGACACCCGAGACACGATGATGCACGGGCGTCGGTCTGATTGTATAGCAACTACTTATACATGGCTGCTTGGGGACTAGGTACTTGTGCGCAACGACTGTCGGGGACGCTGTGAGTTGAGCGTGGTTTCTGCGTAGTGTCTGGTGCAGTGAGCGTAATCATGCACGAGCACACCGGGATGCGTTGGGCCTCCCGTCCACATGGCAGCTAGCCTGCTACCGACGTCTTGGCTTTTGAGAGTTGCAGGAGGCCGGGGCATTGAATGAGACTTGACGAACATGATCTCGAATGGCGGGATTGGGCGCGCAGTACGGAGTATGGAGTATGGAGCAGGCAGTAAGCTTTTTTGTTAGACCCCGTGCCGGCTGGGGGCTGCCCCGCCTGGCTGCAGATGTGTACTATGTACAGTCAACTGGTCTGTGGCAGAATGTGTTTGCCCACCAACAAGTATACACTAATATACACACACTATTGACAGCTTAGTACCGTACACGGCGTGATAGCCAGAAACCTGGCCTTGTTAAACACTTTCTGCCTCCCACTGTACATACTTCTGGTGTGGCTCATTTAAAGAGAACCATCATGGTGCATCTGGAGACGGGAGATGCCATTGCTGGCCCTGCATGCTGCCACCACAACCGCCACCACCACCCGCAATTGCTTTTCCTGGCGATGCGACCGCAACCGGACGCGGTGTTTTGGTGGCGGTAGGTTTTTCCTTACTGACCAAACGGCTTGCCTGGTATACGCCAACCGCATTGCCCTTCCCGCCGGCTTTGCTGCCTCTCATGCCGAAAGGCGCGGCAACGTCGGTGGGTGAGATTGATTCGAGGGGGGGGCGAGGAGAATCGCGAAGGGCAGAGAGTAGTAGGTCACCACAGGTCATTGTTTGAACAAGTCGGTCGAACCCATCCCGATGGGCCCCATGGTTCGTTCCCCGGCTAGGAGAAGCCAAATGTCTCTGGACCACGTTCTAATGAGAAATGTCACCGTGTTTAGCGCCTGCGATAGTCCCGGTTCCAAGCGGGGGCCAGCGCACCAAGGTCTTCTGCTGTGGCCGTCGATCCTCTGGGGTAAGGCTATTGTCATGGGAGACACAATAGGTTGATGGAAAGGATCGGGCAAAGCAGCCCTGCTGATCGCTTCTTGTCTCGAGGTGAAACGCGCCTGTCAGGTCCACGACCGATATTTCTGGGCCAAAGTTGCTGGCGCTGCATGTCTCGGGTGCCATTGTTTGAGAAGGCTCAGTCTTGTTGTGCATGGTGCTATTGTAATGTGAGCATGGCCGGCCGTCCGTCCTTTCGGCTGCTCTGCCGAATTGCGCACCATGGAGCACCACGGCCGTCATCTGCCATGAAAATGCCGTTGAGCTGCTCGGCGGGTTTGTGCTGAAAGAAAGAAAACAGCCACCAACGGCTGAAGCTGGTCACGATGCGTGTTCCTGTCGGTCCTTTTCGTCCCCCGATGCCATTGATGCATTGCTCACTCGAGCATGAATGGGAAGGAGCCACCCGGCGGTGGCTTCTCTTTATTAATAGTGACCACAATACAGAGTGCCTACAGCCCATAGAGTCTCATCACCTCTCAGCCCCAGGTTTCAAGTCGACATTTTGCACCCCGGGCTCGACTCATGATACCTTGCCCATCACACCTTGTCGTTGACCCTGTTATAACGGCCTGGCATCTGACTTGAGCCCCCCCCCGGCCTGGCCGAGGACATCTGGAGCCTAGTGCCATCTTGCTGCTGTGTGGCGCCAGTCCACCAGTCTCGTCCTGTGCCACTCGACGGGTCCAGCACCAGCATCACCAATTCATACGGCGCCGTTAATCTCCACCATCCCTGGGGCCCTGGCCGTTTGGGCTGCTGAAAGCTTCCAGAGTTTCTCTCGACGCCACATGTGCAGCCCCCGCTGGTGGCACCGAGACTCCTACTCAAGTACTCCGTACTCAAGCAGTGCCGAGTAACAGTACTGATTGCGGATGAATACAATACAGCTGGGCGGCTGTTAGCGAAGCGCGAACGACTCGAGTGGACCACGTCTTCCTGTCCCCCGGCCCCCAGCCGAGATCCCCAGCTCTGGACTCCAGCTGGAGTTGAGTGGACTGCAGTCGGACGGGTGGGCTGGGCCAAGCCTCTGATTCCATGTCTGTCCTTTGCTCTTGAACCGAGTCGCTGCTGACCAGACTCCATTCTTGCAAAACTCGTCTTTTCCTCTTCCCTCATGAACTTTGAACCGACCGATCCCGTTCTGCATCACGGAATTCGTGCGCTTCCAGGCGTTGCACATGGACGGCCACCTGCCACTGCCAACGACGACTCGGTCCCAATCTACACATGCGCACAAGGCCAGTCTATGTATTGCTGTCACAGACGCAGCAAACCTTAGGGCACCGCTCCAGACTGCCACGTTGAGCCCGTCAAACCGTCAACCCCCTCCCGTTCTCCACCATCGCCGCAACCATTCATTATTGGGCCAACTTCCCCAGATTTTGCTCCCAGCGCTTTGCGACAGCGGGCGGCGGCGGCTGCTGCTGCTGCTGCTGTAGTTGTTGTCCATGACGGAGCAGCATGTTGGCAGAGTCGAGGAGGTGTCAAGGTGAGCTGCAATCTCGCTGTTGAATGTTGAAGGCCAATTTCGGCTCCCAAGTGTGCGACCGCAGCAGGTATGCGGCCTGGCAGCAACGTCTTAGACTCTCATGTGCCACACCGGCTTCGTGGTCTCGGATGATGCATTATCCTCCCATTCCATCCGTGCCCGAAATTGACAGACAATGCTACTCTGGCTCGGCTTTGCTAACTCACGTCTAGCATTTCAATCAATGCAGCCTCCTCGACCGAAGCCGGACTCCATTCGCGGTCCGGGTCTGGGCCTCACATCAACCTTAATTCCAACGTTGAAGCAAAGTACGACGGCTGCTTACTACCCGAAACCATCCATATCGAATAATTTCTAACCATGTCTCCATAGAATCAAGAATCCATTGATAGGGATTCCTCGGCGAGTTCTCCTCGGCAATGTCGACGAATTCTGCCGCGAAAAGGACCTTGGCGACTATCGCGACCTCATTCGACGGGGAGCGCTTGTTGCCCAAGATCCCACTGGATACGAAGATATTACTGGCTCGCAAGCACTCAGCCAGGAAGAGATTGAGTCTCTCCGCGCCGAAGTCCTCCACAAGTGGCGAATTCCAAAAGTCCTCTATCTCACCATCATTACTTGCTCAATCGGGGCTGCGGTCCAGGGATGGGATCAGACTGGCTCCAACGGTGCAAATCTCATCTTTCCACACGTGTTTGGCATCGAAAGCCCCAGCGTTCATGACAAGCTGATTGTTGGACTCGTCAATGCTGCCCCCTACATTGGGACCGCTCTGGCCGGATGCTGGCTCTCTGATCCCATCAACTCTCACATTGGTCGCCGTGGTACCATTTTCGTAGCCGCAAACTTTTGCCTTTGGCCAGTTCTTGCCAGTGCCTTTTGCAACACCTGGCAGCAGCTGTTTGGCTGTCGACTGCTTCTGGGCGTGGGCATGGGGACCAAGGCTTCGACGGGTGAGTCGGCGCAAAGTATTAGAGTAACAATACCAGGACAAAGAGTCGCTAATGGGGTGCATTGCTAGTGCCTATTTACGCCGCCGAAAATTCGCCTGCTCCTATTCGTGGTGCCTTGGTCATGAGTTGGCAGTTGTGGACGGCCTTTGGAATATTCCTGGGAACGTGTGCCAACCTGGCGGTCAGAGGAGTAACCGCGGATGCATGGCGATTCCAACTAGGCTCTGCCTTCATCCCAGCTGTCCCACTGGCCATTCTCATTTACTTTTGTCCCGAGTCTCCCCGTTGGTACATCAAAAAGGATCGATACAGAGACGCCATGAGATCGCTCATGCGACTGCGAAATACGCCCATCCAAGCAGCGCGAGATTTATATTACATCCACGTCCAGCTTCAAGTAGAAAAAGAATTCATGGGGCATGGAGATTACCTGAACCGATTCATCGACCTCTTTAGGATCCCGCGGATCCGCCGAGCTACTCTGGCGTCCTTTGTTGTCATGATTGCACAGCAAATGTGCGGCATCAACATTATCGCCTTTTATTCGGCTGATGTTTTCAGGTCTGCAGGGGCAGACCAATTCCAATCACTGTTGGCCACGTGGGGATTCGGCTTGGTCAATTTCATATTTGCCTTTCCGGCCATTTGGACCATTGACACGTTTGGACGTCGATCTCTCTTGTTATTTACCTTTCCGCAAATGGCCTGGACGTTGCTGGCTGCTGGATTATGCAACTTGATTCCGGGGGAGGGCGGCTTGCACATGGGTCTGGTGGCCCTCTTTGTGTACTTGTTCGCGGTATTCTACTCGCCAGGCGAAGGCCCTGTCCCCTTCACCTACTCGGCCGAGGTGTTTCCTCTGTCCCATCGCGAGGTCGGCATGGCGTGGGCGGTGGCGACCAACCTCTTTTGGGCAGCAGTTCTCTCCATTTCATTCCCTCTAATGCTCGACCGAATGGGCGTCATTGGGGCGTTTGGATTCTACGCGTTTCTCAACATGGCCGCTTTGGTGTTGATATTTCTGTTTGTCCCCGAAACTAAACAACGAACATTGGAGGAGCTGGATTACATCTTCGCCGTGCCTTCAAGGGTCTTTATGCGTTATCAAACGACCAAGACTCTTCCCTTTTGGATCAAGCGGTGGGTTTTGCTCCGAAAGAATGAGACGCTTAAACCGCTGTACACGCTGGATGTTGCAGAACACCAGGAGGAAGAGGACGAAGAAGAGGAATATGACGGTAGTGACATCGCATTTGAAACCGATAAAGCAAGAGTTGAAATGAAGGATATAGCGGGGTACACGACGCACACGAGCGCAACGACAAACTCGATACGTCGAAGCAACAGTAGCTGAGCACGGGCCTATCTATGCCGGGCCTTTTGTATCAGCCAGCAGTGAGTTATGACGTCTTGAGATGGGTTGACGTCTATGATGCATTTTTCTTTTTTCCCCCTATGCTTTTCATCTATTGGCGTCGATGTCGGTTTGCTGGGTTAGGATTTTGGTTTTTGGTTGATGGTTGTTGGGTGTTGGGTTGAAACTGTATGATTATTGGAGTATGGGGAATTCTGGAACAATGTCAGGCGCCTGGAACGATACCCATTCGATATGTTTTAACTTACCCTTGGCTTGACTTGTTGGATATTGGATGAGCGATTAGCGAACATTGATATACGTCTTTTTTTTCCCAACTGACCTCCCTGTGTGCGTGCTGTGTGCTTGTCCGGCCGATGATTCCCGGCAAGACGGGTTTGTCTCGGCTGGGAAACCCTTACACTACAATTCTCTGATGTCACGTCTCGGGTACGTAGTAGTCGCTTGGGTTGAATCATCCGGCAAGGCGGCAATGATTATCGTGGCGGTTGACGCAAGGAATGCGGGGACTAAGCGACGTCACTCTCCCACATTGCTCTCACCTGGGCACCGCCGCCACTCGGATTGACGATGTGATACGAAGACTAGCGAAACCTGCAACACTTGCGACATGGGCTAGGAGAATTCGGGCAAAAAAGCCCAATTTATTACGGACTGTGGCGTTGGACGAATCCAATGGACGAGCGTGTGGTGGATTTTCTTTGTTTCTTCCTGTTTCTGCATCCTCTGTGCGGTACTGACAGGTGACGTCTGGGCTGTCCATGGTGGTTTGTGCATGTGGAGAGGAAATCTGCGATTGATAGAGGGGGCCAGGGGGTGGTGCTGGTAGCCGAGATCGAGCGCAATGCCCGATGGGACGATTTCGTCTTGTTCTCGGGCGACTTTTTCAGCTGTCCAGGGCTGGATGGCATTGATTGTGGTCAAGACGGTTGACCTGCTTGCTGGGCATGTCCATGCC